TCAGCTCACTGCAAGCTCCGCCTCCCGGGTTTACGCCATTCTCCTGCCTCAGCCTCCCGAGTAACTGGGACTACAGGCGCCCGCCCCCGCACCCGGCTAGTTTTTTGTATTTTTTTTTTAGTAGAGACGGGGTTTCACCATGTTAGCCAGGATGGTCTCAATCTCCTGACCTCGTGATCTGCCCGTCTCGGCCTCCCAAAGTGCAGGGATTACAGGCTTGAGCCTCTGCGCCCGGCCTTAAATGTGCTTTAAAAATTCAAGAGATAAGTAATATTTTGGGATACAAGAAAACTATATGAAACTAAAACTTGTGCCCCTAAATTTTTGTTGTAACACAACCACCTATTCATTTATCTATATAAGTATGTCATATGTATATATATGAGAGGTGTGTGTGTGCGTGTGTGTGTAGCTACTTTCCTGCAAAAATGGTAGAATTGAGTAGTTGTGACAGAGACCATATGGCCCATGAAGCCTAAAATATTTGCTATCTGGCCCTTTATAGAAAAAGTTTTCAAACTCTGGCTTAGAAGAGAGGGTCTTAGTGATTTACGTCCTATTAACAGGGTTGGCACCTTCAGGGCAGGAGGCTGAGGTGGCACCCAAATTGCTGCATTCATGACAATGAAACTAATAGAAAAGTTTCTTGAATACACTGGTTAAAAGGTCCTCAAAGTGTTCATAAGTAGATAAAAGGGGGGGGGGGGGCGGGGAACAACCCAGGAAAACCAAACAACCCCAAGCTTCACAAAGCTGTAGATGTGATAAATATGCATGAATTGTCAGAAATGCCCTTAGGCAAAAAGGTTGACAAATATTTTATGGTCACAGCAATTGGGTTGAGTTTAAGCACATGGAAGTAGTTTCAGACAAACTGGTACTAGGCAAGGGGTTACAGCAGACAGACCCCAGACCGTAGAGTCAGGGTCTAGGACTGTGGAGGGTAGAGGCTCCTGCAGTCAGACAGAAAGACCGGGAAGAGCGGCCCCTGTGTGTCCTTCAGGAAAGCACCCATCAGAAATGAGGTGTAAAGGACATTGGACTGGGTGCCCAGCCCCCCTAGACCATGGAGTGCCTGGTGCCCCTTCCTCATGGTGCCACAGACTGGTCAGGAGAAGTGAGGGCAGGCTCCCTCTTAGTCTTTGGAGAATCCCAACAAATCTGGTTTGAATCTAAATGTGGATGGAAACTGGTGTACCCGCACATTCTTCTCCCCCACCTCCACATGCCCCATCAGCTGAAAATAAGAGGCTACCGAGGAGAGGGCAGATGGATGGGGTCCGTCTGCCTGGGCAACCTTGCCTAATGATAGCTCACGCTCATGGGTTGCTCACTCTAGACCTGGAACCAAGGGAAACTTTGGATTGTTTGGGGAGAGGTAATATGCTTAAGGAACCAGAGGCCATCTGGAAAAGAAGTCAAGATGCTGACTCTTGAAATTCTGGGGGTGAGACGGGGGTCGGATGAGCAAGGCCTAAGAGCAGGGCAGGGAGAGCAAGGGTCTTCATCCCTAGGGAACCTTTCAGCCTTCGCCTTTGTGGCTGTTGCTGTCTTCTAGTGCTTTTCATTGTGGTCAACAGGAAACGGAAGGCCTGCAAGTTTTATGCCTGCAAAATGCCATGCTAAGCCCTTTGTGTGAGTTATTTCGTTAAATCTTCCAAAATGGCCTCATGAGGAAGGTACGATCGTCATTTTATAACTGCGAAGACTGAAGCTTGGAGCAGTTAAGTTTCTTGCACCAGATTACTAGGCAGTTACGAAGCAGACTGGTACGAGGACCCCCAAAGCCCAGCTCTCGGCATCCTTAACCCCAGTATACTGACTCCGGCACATTTATTATACTTTTGTGTTCCTTGCTTATCCTTTTATCTCTTTTCTAAGTTGATTCAATGTTGAAACCATGAGCCATTTAGTAGTAGTTCATGTTACTGTGACAATGGCCACTGAAGAGATCCACAGGACGTGGCAGTCCAGGCATGAAAGTTAGGTGTGAGACCCTGGCCTCAGACTGCCTGAGTTCTGTTCCTGGCTCTGCCACTTATTGTCTGTGCAACTCTGAGCAAATTGCTTAATCCCTTTGTGCCTCAGTATCCCCACCTATGAAATGAAAGTGATTTATCCTGATTCAATAAGCTATTCCAGATAAAGAGCTTGAGCAGAAGCAAGCACTCTCCTCACTGGCTGTTGCTATTGCTGTTTTCCTTGTTAGCTAATCACACCTGTGCTGCCTGCCCCACAGGGTAGAATCCCAGGAAGAAAACTGCCATGGTGCAGAGGGCACTTCTTTAGGAGCCAGGAGCTCTGAACCCTGTTCTGCCAATAACTCACTATGTGGGCTCCAAAACGTTACCCCTAATACTCTCAGTGCATGTCATCTACAGCAATTTTTCCAGGTCCTTTTACCCAAATGGTAAATGTAATTGATATAACAATATTTACTGAGCATATGTGTGGGCCAGACTGACCACCTGCCTAATCTCTTACTCTTTATGCCCACACTACTGGGTAGACTCTTTTGTTATTTTCATTTTACAAACTAGGAATATGATGCTAAAGAGGTTAAGGAAGGTGTTCAGAGTCACAAAGCCAGAAAAGAAAGAAAAAGAGCTGAGTTGGGATATGAACTCAGAGAGTCTGACTCCAGTCCACACACTTCACAGTTGTGCTTGAGCAAAGTTGTGTTAAAGCTGTGATTAAGGTCCCACTTATAGCGAGCTGGCCACGACTCTGCCGGATGGGGGAGTGGGGATGGAGAACCATGGCATCCCCTCTCCACACTGGTCGTGAAGAGAACTGTCAATTCTTGGCCGGGTGTGGTGGCTCACGCCTGTAATCCTGGCACTTTGGGAGGCCGAGGCGGGCGGATCACGAGGTCAGGAGATCGAGACCATCCTGGCTAACATGGTGAAACCCCGTCTCTACTAAAAATACAAAAAATTAGCTGGGCATGGTGGCGGGAGCCTGTAGTCCCAGCCACCTGGGAGGCTGAGGCAGGAGAATGGCGTGAACCCGGGAGGCAGAGGTTGCTGTGAGCCAAGATTGTGCCACTGCACTCCAGCCTGGGGGACAGAGCGAGACTCCGTCTCAAAAAAAAAAAAAAAAGAGAGAGAGAGAGAGAGAACTGTCAATTCTTGCACAGAAAAAGGAAGAGAGGAAGAGGTGACCCCAAAGGAGCACTTGATTGCCATGGAGGTCAAACTAGCCCAACAAAAGGCCCAAGTTGGCCCAAGGAATTTTCTTATCAGGTAATGGAAATTGTTTTTAGTGGCAAGAATGAGCTCATTACAGATGCAGCTTGTGCTAATAATGATAATTTGCTGAGCAGTAAAATCACCTCTCTACCTCCCCCGCCAACAGACGACACTCTAGAAATTATAGGCTAGGGAGAAACAGAAAGGATAAAGATTAAGGAAAAGATCTGCAATGCGGAACTGCTTAAACAAAGGGAGTTACAGATTTGCACATTGAACTCGGTGATCTTAATCACGAAGTTGTAGAATAATTAGATACTGTTAAAGAATTGTTTAAATTGCCTTTATTCAATTTTGTTATCTCTATTACTGGGTTGTTTTTTCTGGTTTTGTTTCAGTTTTACAGCTCAAGCCATTTTTTAAAAGTTGGTGCAAAATGAATTAGTCAGTGGCTTAAATATGGATGCATTATAAGATCCCATGGATGGGAGTAAGATATGGGCAGTTGCAAGGGGTCATTTCAGTCCTCACACCCTGTTAATTTCATGGGCAAAGACCCCCAGTAACCTTGAGGCCCTAGGAGCTATCTGCAAACTGTTTGGGAGAGGGGGCCCGGCAGACCCATTCCTGTCTCTCATTCCTGAGAGGCCAGCACAGATGCAGCAGGCTGGGCCATCCCCCAGTCCTGGCAGTGGGGAGATCTAGCTCCACCTTTCCTTTACAAGGTTGTGGGTTTTAACTCTTCCAGGGTTTTCAGAACACTGGGAAAAAATCCCAACAGTTCACTGAGTTTTGCCTCAGCCCTTGGAAGGGAATGCCAGCTACCTTCTAGTGAGATGTGGCTTTTTTCCTTTAAACGCTTTTTTTTTTTTTTTTTTTTGTTTGAGTTTTTTTTTTTTTTTTTTTTTTGAGATGGAGTCTCACTCTTTTGCTCAGGCTGGAGTGCAGTGGTGTGATCTTGGCTCACTGTAATCTCTGCCTACCCGGTTCAAGAGATCCTCCCACCTCAGCCTCCTGAGTTGCTGGGATTACAGGCGTGTGCCACAACACCCAGCTAATTTTTGTATTTTTAGTAGAGAGGGGGTTTCACCATGTTGGCCAGGCTGGTCTCAAACTCCTGACCTCAGGTGATCCACCCGCCTCAGCCGCCCAAAGTGCTGAGATTACAGGCGTGAACCACTGGACCTGACCTTTCTTTAAACATTTAATCTCTAAAATATTAAAATATCTTTTAATTCAAATAGGGATTTTTTTAATGACTTTTTTCTTGCTTATAAAAACAATACCTATTGTCTATGGAAAATTGTAAAAAGCATAAACAAATAAAAATAACCAATAGGACCATCATCCAAATGACCACTGCTAGCATTATAGGTTAGTAGCCCCCCACACACCCTTTTTTAAAAACCAAAAGCAGGATTATAGTGTGTATGAGTTTGTGTGTATGAGTCACACACACAGGTCTGATGTTATTGTACAGTTTTATGACCTGCCTAAGGGATCCTACATATTTTTATACAACACCATTTTTCCATCATATCATTTAAAAATAATGAAATGTACCATAATCCTGAACCCTGTGGGGAAGGTGCTGTCATCTGGTTTTGTGTGACAATCTCCCTTTACACACATTTCTGGTTGTTTTTCTAGACAAAGGTTCTTAACCATGCCTGTGGCGGGGACCCACGGCTGTCTAGTGAAACCCGTAGGCCTCTTGTCAGAACAATATTTCCGAATGTTTAAAGCAAAATACATAAGATTACAAGGGAAACAATATTGAAATATTATCAAAATATTAAAAAGAACAAATTTATAAAACAGCCATTTGTTTCTTTATTCTTATACTGAATAACAATATGTGAGAGAGTAGATATAGCCACTATAATTAACCACCATGATTATAAAGAGATGAGCTTTAACATCATTCAAGCTGTTTGCAGCCAGAGCCACGTGATACAAAAACATCCGTGATTGCTCTCAGGCTAAGGTGACAGGTCCTGCAGTGGTTTGTGGCTTACATTCATCAAGGAAGGAAATACTAAATTTCGCCTGGAAGTTAGTGAAAACAATGATGTAACTTTTTTTCTCATCAAAGTTCTCTGACCTTCTGACTTCTACCCATGGAATCATGGGAGCCCAGGATGTCCAGGTGAAAATTCTTGCCTTGGAAGAAACCTTCCAGACCCAGACCCAGCTTGCTGCCTCGTGTGACTCTGCATGTTTCTGAGCGGATGACAATGGTCTCATTGTCCCAGGAGCTGTTTTTTTATTTCTTCTGCATGCGGATGTTTGCTGAGGGAGGTCAGGGTGCCTGCTAGTGGCAAGAGCATGTTATCCAGTGTTACAGCTTGAACCATGTCCCTCAAAAAAAAAAAAAAAAAAAAACCATGTGAAAGTCCTAGTCCCCGTACTTTATGTGACTTCTTTGGAACTAGAGTCATTGCAGGTGTAATGAGTTACAATGAGGTCACAGTGGAGTAGGGCATGCTCCCGATCCAGTGCGACTGATGTCCTTGTAAGAAGATGGCCGTGTAAAGGCAGCGAGGCACCCAGGGGGCCTGGAGTTAGTAGCAAGAAATGCCAACATGGCTGCAAAACACAGCAAGCTAAGAATAGGTGAGGAAGGATTCCCCCATGGGTTTCAGAGGGAGCAGGGCCCTGCTAACACCCCACTTTTGGACTTCCCGCCCCCAGAACTGTGAGGCAATAAATTTCTGTTGTCTTAAGCCACTCAGTTTGTGGGACTTTGTGGAGGCAGCCCTATCACACCAATATAGCTGGTATCTGCTAACTGGACCCTTCTGGGGACCGGGATTCTAGAAAACCAGGGCTGGGGTGGGTGTGCCGTCTGTGTCGCTGTCAGTAACATGCCAGGACCCAGAGACCGTTTGGTTAGAGGGTTGGGCTAGGTCTTCAGTGAAGATCCTGGCCTGGCTGCAGTGTTACCTCAGGGGTTAGGAACCCCCTAGCTCATGGTCAACATAACCTGGAGAAAACCCGCACAAGAAACTTCAGCAGGCAGAGAAGCAGCCTCTTTATACCCACATGACAAAAAAAAAAAAGGTCTTTATCATTAATGACATGCGACTGTCAACCACTCAGGATGCAGGCGGCAGTTAAAAAATTCTTGTTATTAAATTTCTTTATTGCTCATTGGGCATGATGCCAACACGAGAACGGCAGGTTTCGGAAGCCCCACTTAAAGTTCACCTCTCCCTGGGAGACGCTGCGCTTCTAGCCTTCTGCATACTTTGCGGAGGACAGTGGCTCTAGGTAAATCTTCCCACTGCATGGTATACTTGGCCTCTGAGCACAGCCACATGTCAACGGAGTTCTGGGGTCCTCTCTCAGGGGCCTTCCAAGGGCAGGGCAGCTTTCATCTAGGAGAGAAATCATCCGTGTGAGTTGAAGGCAACTGGCCCAGCTAAGCAGAAAAGCCACTGCACACATTTCATCCCCTTTTTTTTTTTTTTTTTTTTTTTTTTTTGAGACGGAGTCTCGCTCTGTCGCCCAGGCTGGGGTGCAGTGGCCAGATCTCAGCTCACTGCAAGCTCCACCTCCCGGGTTTACGCCATTCTCCTGCCTCAGCCTCCCTTCATCCCCTTTTTAAAACAGTAGTAGGAAGGAAAGAGACAGCCCTCCTCACCTGGAATAGAAAAATCGGGATATTTTGGCAGCAGCTCTTCATGCTGCAAAACTTTTGGAGAAGGAGCAGAAGTTTTTGTGGAGCTAACTCCGTATATTCTAAAACAAGAACAGAAGTCACGAAGTTATGGACCTTTCATTTAGAATAGAATAAGAATAAATATAAATACAATATGTAAGAGTAAATGTATGAATATGGTATGTTTATTTCCTTACAATTTATTCTAAAGGGAAAGATCCTCCTCCTCATTTTGCAGAAGAGAAAACTGAGGCCACTCAGCACCCTTGGGCCGTAAGCCACTGCCAGGATGGTAGCCCTGCTGGTTTTTACTCCCAGCCCCTCCCTGCAAACCAGCAAAGACCACAGGTAGAGCTGCTGGAAAATGCTGAGCGCAGGTCAGGAGCAGGGGGCAGCTGCCTACTGGGGAAGCCCTGAAACTACAAATGAGGCGCCTTTTCTAAGACAAATCACACACAAATAGTCCTAGTGCTGGGATGGGGACATCTGGTAAACCCCCGTCCGTCCGGGGTTTGTACTTCTCCCTTTGATCTTGTGCCTGGGGTGCCGACCCAAGCCAGACTCACTCTTCATATGGTTTCAGATGTGCTTTCTTGGCCCTCTCTGTGATGTCCAGGAAGTCCTTGTAGCAGTCTTTGGCCATGACAGTATATCTCGTGCCACAGCCAAATTCAGTGACCCTGGCTCTCGGCAGGTAGCCTGCCCAGCCAGGGATTGGAGGCTCCTGGAGAGGTTTCTTTACATATTTGCATTCTGTAAAAAGACACCATGGCACAGAGAAAGCAACGAAAAAATGTTATCCACTGATCCAGAAGCCGAGGCCTGAAAACTTGTGACTTGCCTAGGGTCTCCTAGTTCTCAGACCAGCACCCTCTTCCGTAACCAGGACTGTGCTCTGCCCCCTAGAAATGTTTGTTTCTGGCCAGGCACTGTGACTCATGCCTGTAATCCCAGCACTTTGGGAGGCCGAGGTGGGCAGATCACCTGAGGTCAGGAGTTCGAGACCACCCTCGGCAACATGGTGAAACCCTGTCTCTACTAAAAATACAAAAAGTAGCCAGGCATGGTGGCGCGCACCCATAGTCCCAGCTACTTGGGAGGCTGAGGCGGGAAAATCGCTTGAACCTGGGAGGCAGAGGTTGCAGTGAGCTGAGATCGCGCCACTGCACTCTAGCCTGGGCAACAGAGTGAGACATCGTCAGAAAGAAAGAAAGAAAATAAAGAAAAGAAGAGAAGAGAAAATGAAGGAAAGGAATGAGAGGAAAGAAAGAAAAGAAAAGAAAAAGAAAAAGAAATGTATCTTTCTCATTTTAAGAAATGGAGCCTTTGCGTTTGGCACTGACCCCTGGGATTTGGAACTCTGTGGGATTCTGGGTACTCTGGGGCAGCTCAGCTGGCCTGTGAGAATCTGCATGGGTGACCAGGGGTGAGGGGAAGTGGTTTCAGGACGCTGCTACCCAGGAGGAGAGGGTGGTGCTGCTGATTGTACTGGTGCAGGGCCCGCAGGACCGTCTCCTCGGAGTTGACAGGCTTCAGTTTTGGGGCAGTGGCCACTGCACAGCAAAATTCCCGCAGCTGGTCTTTATAGCGCTGTGTTTTCTCCTGGAAGGTTTTCACACAGTAGTTCATGTCATCCTCTCTGGACGTTCCTTGGCAGCTGAGGAATGGTACGAAGCCTGCAAGAGCCGAATGGAATCACAGCCTTCAGCAAGACTGGCCAGCAAGGAATTCAGAGCCCGCCTAAACTCCCCAGCATTTCAGCCCACCCTTTGGCATTTCTTCCTCAGCCAACAACACTACGTTTTTCCAAAGGCCATTAATACAAACAGTGCTGTTGTTTCCACTGTGACTGGGCCCTCCCAAGGTCACAAAAAATGACCTTGGAGCTGGGGAGGGAAGGCCCATTTCAACAAAGGCGGTGACAGTAATACTCTTTGAATAGCAAAGCCCCTGATGTCAGCCTGATGGAAAATGGGGAAAGCATTTAATGGGCCAAAATGATAGTCTAAGGAGTAATTGAAATTATTTATCTTTTTAGAGAGAAAGCTTATTTTCCTCGACACTTCCCAAATGCAATTTGGGATCTTTCTTGCCGGACCATCAGGAAATTGCAGGCTTATTAAGAGCAGAGCCCTATTACACAAAAAGGTAAATTCATTATCTGCAAGACCCACTCCTAACACAATTTTTCACCATTTCCCACCAAGTAACATATAATCATTACAATTAGTATGGGTAAAACACAACTATTTACTTCAACTGGAGGCTGAATCCTAAGTACTATAACATTGTCAAAATAAAACTTTTTTTTTTTTTTTTTTTTTTTGCAGAACAAATGAGGAAAACTGGTTAAGAACTTGGTTTTAAACTGCAAAATAAATAAATAAATCTCTCTCCTTATGGAAGCCCAACATTTTTGCCATGGTCTCCAGGAAAGCAAAACCTGACTTCGGAGTTGAAAGTAGCAATGCTCACCCCCTGAGCCCTACAATAACCCCCTCTGGAAGAATCTAATTACTAATCTTGACAGTGTTGGAAGCCTTCCACACATCGCCCAGTCTCCCCAACCCTTGGACGATTAAAAGATACCCTAATATCAGGAAGACCCTAGGGGCCTTGCCACAGTGGTTTCCCTGCCATCAGGGCCTACTTTGATCTGCCTAGGTTTTATATTAGTGCATATATGCACACACATAAGCATACAAGCTACCTTTATCGAGTCTCACTAAGGACCAAGACATTTAAAATAGGTTATGTATGCTGGCTCCTTTAATCCTCACAACAATCTTCTGGTATCTCATGTAGTGGGTTGAACTGTATCCTCCAAATAGATATATCCAAGTCCTAACTCCTGGTACCTGTGAATGTGCTCTTATCTACAAATAGGGACTTCTCAGATGTAATTAAGGGTCTAGAAATGAGATCATCCCAGATTTAGGGTGGGTCCTAAATCCAATGACTGATGTCCTTACACCTGAAAGAAGAGGGAGACTTGAGACACAGGGGGAAATGCCATGTGAGGATGAAGTGACTGGAGAGATGCTGCCATAAGCCAAGAACACTGGGGCCACCAGCAGCTGGAAGAAGCAAAGGTGGGATCCTTCCCTAGCACCTTCAGAAAGAGAATGGCCCTGCGGGCACCTGGATTTCAGACATTTGGCCTCAGAACTGTGAGGGAATGCATTTCCATTGCTTTAAACCACCTAGTTTGTGGCAATTTGTTGCAGTGGTCCTAGAAAACTAATACATCCATTTTATAGAATGTTGTACTTACCACAGAGAGGCAAGTTACTTACAGTCTCATCGACAGTGGCCAGATTCGAACCTCAGCTTGTCAGAACCCAAAGCCCATTCTTAACCAGCCGTTAGGACCGGGGGGAGGCTGGGCAACCTTGGAATATCCCCCTAGCACCACTCCTCCTGAGAACGGCTGTATGGGAGAGCCAAGGGTCTGTGGGGACCACTGGGTTTGTCACCCCCAGGGATATGACTTAGTAAGTTCTCAGTAGCCCAGAAGCCTGAGGAGGAATAGCCTCTAGGTAGGGCAACCAATTGTCCTGGTTTGCCAAGGACTGAGGAGTTTCCCAAATGCAAGATTTTCAGTGTTAAGGAAAGTCCCAGGCAGTCCCAGGACAAAGGCAGTTCCAGGTAGACCAGGGCTGTTGGTCAGCCTTCCTTTAGGGGATGCAGGAAAGGATGGGAGCACAAGGATAACCTTTGTGGAGGACTTGAGAAAACTTGGGGAGGACAGGGCCTCTACTTATTTGTGTGTCTATCCTCATCACATTGTGTCTATCCTGGTCCAGATTCTTTCAACAGGCATTAAGTGCTTCCTCTGCATACCAGGCCATGTTCTGGGACATGTGGTCTAAGTTCTGCCTCTCAGAACCCAGTCATCAGCCATCTTCAGCGATGGAATGCTCTCAATGCATGTCTCAAAAGCTAGAGCGCCTAGACTGGTCCAGTTGGCTGCACAGACACAGGCAGTGGGTCAAGGCAGGGACAGAGACCAGGACACAGGTTCCCCTGCCGGGCAAAGCTGCAGGGCACATCCACACTTACCGCTGTAGCCTGGTGTGATTGGCAGATTTCTCATGAAGGTCTTGGAAGGCTCCATGATTTCACTCTCTGTTAGTGGAGGGAAGAGGGAATGAAATGATCTCATCAAAAGTCTTAAGGAATTACTATTGAGTGTGCACAAGCTCTTGGAAGTGGAAGAATGACTGCCAGGGGTTGGGCCTGAGAGGCAGCACTACCATCTTACCCAAAGGCAGTGACATAGCTGGCTTCAGTCATAAACCAATGACCTATTACCAAGGGCCCATCACCTTTTCTGTTAACTTGGATAACAGTCTGTAGATCACACCTACCAGCGTCTCCTCTCCCTGGAAGCACCCTCCCCTCCATCCAACCTCCAGCCATCCAATAATTGTGAACTAGACTCATACTATGGCTGTGAAACATGATAGAGGTTGGAAATGCAAAGCTGAGCAAGCCCAGAAGCCCCGGTGTGAGGTTCACGAACCTCAGGGGAGGAGAGAGATGAGGCCCACACACCCCTGGACCCCCTTCTTGATCCAGGTGAAATCAGGTTGCAGTGGTGATGGTTGCCAGCCCCCCCCCCCCCATCACCCCGGAACATCTGACAATGTCCAGAGGCATATTTGGCTGTCAGAGTGGGGGATGGGATGCTACTGAACATCCTGCAATGCACAGGAGGCCCCCCGCATCCTCCGGCACACACACACGCACGCACGCACGCACACACAACAAGGGAGAAGAAGTTCTGGCTTGAAGGAATCAGGAAGTCCCAAAAGGCAGACATGGAGTCCGAGGAGGGTAAGCAGAGGCCACCCTCTGCTTCAGCGGGCTCCACTGAAACATCAGTTTATGTGAATGCTGCTTCTGCAATAAGACACCTTCCCTCTTTGGGCATCGCTGGTCATTCCCCCCAAGTGGGCTGAGGCCTTGCCAAGTCCTGCCTGCTGAGCCAGTTGATCTCTGTAAAGCAATGCCCTTGAGGCTGGAAGAAGAGGATTCAGGGTAGAGGGGAGGGCCACAGTCATGGCTTAGTCAGCAATGATGGGGATTGTTAAGACAGTTCAGCCCCTGCCAGGCTGACAGCAGTGAGGACTGTGCCACGTCTAGGCCGGTCTAACGGCATCACGTACCTGGCTCCTGGGAGGAAGCACTGAGCCTGGAGTCAGACAGACCTAGCTGTGAGGCCATGTCCCACCCATACTGACCACCTGCTTACTTTTCTGAAAGCTTTCCACGCTTGTTTAGTCCTCTCAACAGCCCCATGATATAAATGCTATATTATACCCATTTCCCGATTTTAAAAGGCAACAGACAGGGAACACGGGCTATGCCCATGTTGCAGCAGAACCGCATTCTCCTTTAATCCCCACAGCTTCCCTAAGAATGGGTTCCTGTTGGAACCTCCATTTTATAAATGAGAAAAATAAGGCACAGAGAGGTGAGGTAGCTGTTTCAGGGTTCCAGAGTGAAAGGGGGTGTGAACAGATGACCTCTAAACTCCCAGGGACAGGATATGTTGCCCAAAAGCATCAGCTGGGGTAAAAGCCTGCCTGGAGGAGGTGGGCAGGGAGGAGGGTGGGGAGAGAGGCGGTGTCCTGAGAAAGGGGGCTAGGAGGGGGTAGAAAGTACCAGCAAGACCCCTCCTACCACCCTCTTCCAATCCCACCCCAGCGCTCACCTGGGCGGGGCTGGCTGTATCCGGCGCCCACCTGGCCTCTGCCGGGCCGCCCAGCATCCCTGCCTTCCACCAGGCCTTTGTGTGCTCACCCCGTGGAGCACAAAGGCCCCACCGCTGCCAGCCTGCCCCTCCCCCACTCTTCCCGGGGTCCCACCTGGAAGGTTTCCCGGGGTCCCACCTGGAAGGTGGGTGAACTGAGTGAATCTGGGGCGCTTCCCCCAGCGCCCGGCACAGCCGGCCCCGCCAGTGTAAAGTCGGGCATCTGCGCAGCAAACATCTGGCCTCGGAGCTGCCCTCTGCGCCTTGGCTGCCCCAGCCAGGGACAGGGTATGCAGAGGGCTCTAGGTCAAAGCGGGCGTTTTTGCGGGTGTAGACACCGCGGCGGCTGGGCCTGCTGGTCTGGCTAGGGAAGCGGGTGGGCGGGAACAGGGGGCGGGGCCGGCAGTGGGCGGGAGGAGGCGAGACCTGAGGGCCCTGGCGCCTCCAATACAGGAGCTTCCTGGGCCTGGCAGCCCCTCCCTCGCTGTCTCCTGTTAGGAGAGGCGGATTTTCAGGTGGTCGGGACAGGTGAAGGCAGAGAAGCGTGGCTGTGCACCTGGGGAAGGTGAGTCATCCTTCTTTCTAATCACCCTTGGTGGGGCACCCAGACTTCCTCTCATTGGATTGAAACCCACCAAGATGTCCGCCCTATGAACCAGATTTTGTGGGGGCGGGCACGCGCTGGCTGCTCCCTTTACAGAAAAGGACGCTGAAGCTGCGCTACTTCCAGGACACGCTTGTTTGCCGCACCTCCCGGCCTTCCCTGCCTCCACCTGTCTAAAAATTCAACTGCAAATGAAGGCTGGTGGAGCCTACCACCATTTATACCTCGCTTTTATCACCCCATTTAGAAATACCTCGGGCCATCAGGAAGCTTTCAGAGCCAACGCTGGAGGGTGACTCAGGTGTAGGCTCTGGACACAGCCAGTTTCACGTGAAGGCTGGGATGCCCAGGGGCAAGAGCCCGACCAGGCCTTCTGCATGTTTTGGTGACTTTCACTGGGGTGCAGTGGCATTGGCAGTGGTCACTCTGCTTATCTGCCCTCCCTCTGGCTAGATCACTTTCTTCTAGAGAAACGGGGTTCTGTGCCTATCGATGGGGCCTTGGTTCCCAGCGAACAGAGGACCTAGTCTTGTTAGAATAACTTAATAAAACGTATAGCACCTGGAAAAAAGTGAAACTCTCCACCACCTGAGATGGGGTAGAGAGGGAGGTCAGTACTGATGTGTCCGTCATGCAGTTTACAAACCCAGGATGGGAGAAAAACAATCTGGGCCACATGAGATTCAGAGTTTTGCTTTATTAGGCATCTGTGAAGACAAGAGTTTGCAGACACAATCCTGTCTGGTGGCGAACTGCTGCAAAGTTCTGTGAAGTTTGAATTTATCTTGTAGTGAACGAGACCCCAGTAGCTGATATTTTAGAATACTGGTCCATATTTCAAGCAGATGAGAGGTGTGACATTATGGCCAACAACTTTTATACTAGCCATCCACTTAAGCCATTTCCCAGCATACATATGCAGCTTAATCACAGCTATACATTTCTACAATGTGAAATTCGATCTTTGACTAATAATGCGTTTTGACTCCTGTTTACATTGGTGCATGCGATTCTTTGCTACCCTGGCAATTAACCAGACCTGGACTCTAAAAGCTAAACTTGGTCTAAATAACATTCTAAGGGTAAGGCAGCCTCTATAATCTGGACTCAGCCATCATTTTGCAAAAACAGTTGTATGGTTCCTCCTGTTTCCCCTCCTGTCTGTAACCTGTTATTCAGCATTTATTCATGCCTGCTGTGTTCGGAAAGGGCAGTTACAAGGGAAAGCCTTGATGATTCTGCTTCCTAGAAAGGTGAGTATCAGATAATATGTCGGGGACAACTGAGTAATGGGTCAAGACAACACGCCTTGTAGATGCTTTCTAAGATTAGAAAAATGTGTTCAAGTGTACTTATCCAGTGCTCTTATTCTAGAATATTCCAGTGGGGGTAAGGAAGGAGGGATGGATTTGGGGGTTTTGTTTAAGGACTTTGACAACTGGGGCTGCAACTCTATGGCCAAAAGATAAAATTATCATCCTCTCCATCACCTGTCTGCCAACACTGCAGATTTCTATCTGCTCAATTAAGAGGAACAGTACACAGGGAGATAGCATTAATGCAAGGCGGGAAAGGCTTTACATTAGCCCAAAAAAGAGGGGCTTGGCCATGTTACTCACACTTACACTTAGCCAAGCAGAAAAGCTGGGCTTATGTACCACTTGGTTTCTTTCTTTGACTCTAGCATCCTGAAAACGTCACATACAGTGGACCACGCTTTGCCCTCAGAGTGACTGCTCTGTCCCGGAAGGAGAGGTCAACGACCCCTGAGGACGCAAGCGTTTCTTAGGTTGTTCTGTGCAGTCACATTGCTTCCAGACCAAGAACATTCAGCTCTTAAAGTCTGCACAGGAGAACTGATAGAATCTGCTCCTTTCAATGGAATCTGTGACTCTTTGGGAAGGATGTGCATGGAGAAGGGTCTGATGAGGCTCCTGATCCAGGCGGTCCACGTGTGTTCAGTGTGTTCTGACCCTAGGCACCTCTGTCTATTGCTCAGTCTTGCGTACATAGTCCATAGCTTGGCATCAGCACAAACTGATGCTTAGTGAGCACAATTAAGAAATCAAACTGTGGAAAATTAAGGACAGTAACAAAAGTATCATCAACAAAAATCAAGGATCATTTTCCTTTTTGAAACAAGAAAAGCGCATCGTAGAAACAAAGATTCTGTACAATATTCTAACATTATATGTACATAAAATTATATTACTCATAACTACATTGAAAAGTCTTATTTGTAGAATATGGCTGGCAACAAAGAAAGACCCATACCATTTAGCGTTTGAAGCAGGGCAGGGAGCAAGAGAACACTAGCAAAGACACTTTTGTGCCTGGATACACAATCCCGCTACTAAGTTACGTGACTAACCAGCACTCTCTAGTTCTGTGGTTTGTTCGTGTTTCACATTCTAGTAGGGAGTTCTGCAGCAAGCGATGTGAAAAAGAAGACATGGTCAAATGAAATGTGAAATGCTTTTAAAATCTGCATATTGGCTATGATAATGGGTTTGTGAATCCAAGTTGCATTAGAAGTTCGCTCATTCTCCATTCATTATGCATGCCTCCAGTGATTTAATGAATTTCAGCAGGTGGAAAAAACAGCTTTGAACAGATCAGATGGGCTGTGAGTCAGATTCTTGATTCTTTTTCCTCATTTGGCTCCTGAATATTGCAGAAAACTGGTTTTGTACAGTGGGGAAGGAGAGAATGAAGACCCTCCAGTTGGTTCCTCAGTCAGCTCTGTTCTTGGTGTCCCTTTCTTGCAATTTTTTCCCTCCCCTGGCCCTTCCTGTGAGGGTTAAAAGTGCCATCTCGTCTCCAAGCCAGGTGGAGCCCCAATCCCATTGACCAAGAGGGCAAGGTATGGGGTCACCTTCACATGTAAGCACTCTTCCTAAGGGAGCCCAAAGGGAACACCTGCAGAGTGCCGGCTGTGGTCTATGTGTGAACTTTAACGAAATCTCAAGTTAGTATTTCTAGAATTTCAGTTGAACCATGATGCAGTCTACACTACAAATGCCGATTCTGGTGCAGTTGGCCTCAGTTAGAAAGGGCCCAGATCCAGGAACCTGTTTTGAACACGCACCCAGGCAATTCTGATGCAGACAAGCCACAGGCCTGCTGTGAAAAAAAACAAAACTGACTTAATCCATCAAGTATAGATCTACAAATTATTTTTAGAGCAACTTGAAAAACTGAACATTTTAATGAAACATTGCATAGCACAGATTCTCTTCCCAAATTTCACCCATGTATTCCTTTCAAAATGTGGGACTAAATGGCCAGAACTCTTAGGGAGATGAAGGCAAGTGGGAAGGCGGGGGTTAATTTAAAATCTGTCTGCTTTTCAAGGTGAGGGGCTCTTCTGGATGCCTGGGCTTGGTGATGCAAACAAGACCAATGGCAACCTCATTTTCTTACCCAGAATTCCTACTAAGGTTCACTAGAATTACTTATGAACTCAGAAATCAGGGCTGGGCATGCTGGGAATTTATATCACAGCATAGAATTTGGGATACGTCAGTAACTCTTTACTATCTATTTCCATCATGGCAAGTTTTCACCTGCTAAGAATGTGAGGTATCAGCTCTCCTACTCGCAAAAGCCCTGGTGGATTACCCAAGGCTACGGTTATTTTTCCCTGAACCTCCTTGCTATTTAAATTATATGAGAACCTAAAACAGTGCCCAGTGTAGGCAGCCTTCTACCACCAGCTAAAAACATTCCCAGTTCCCACTGATTCACCACTTTTAATCACATGATGATGAAAAGAAATTAACTGCAGATGGGTGGCATTTTATATTGACTGCCATCCAAAAAATTTAAAAAGTCTCAGATGAAGATCTCCTCCTGGTTCAAAGATCTCATTTTAAATCTAGAAAGACAGCAATAGGGCATCCTAAATTCTACTTAACGGAGATCTGTTCAAAGCAGCGCAACCACTGCTGCAGCAATGTACTGATTCCCTTCTCCGTGGCCGTTTCACCACTTTTGTACCTATGAAACTAGCTGCTCCTCCAGGATCCTTTAATTTTCTATGCCTAAACTTTAATCTTAATTTCTGTTTTTCTGACTCCAGTGTGCCCTCAAAAGTCACTAATTATTTCCAGCCCTGATTGTTCTCATCTTCCCTGCTGAAATTCACATGGGCAATGGCGAGGGTCAAGGTTAGGGAAAGAAGAGTCAAGGTTGAGGTCAGCAGATGCAGGTAAGTTGAGTCCCGGGGGCAGGCAGCAGGGCGGGAGGGTTAGTAATTTAAGAAGTCGATCCCAACTTTGACACTCTTCGAAGTGGCTATATCAATGGCTGTGGCTTTGATCTCGGTGTCCCCAAACTGCATAAGGGTCTGGATCTCCCTCCGGGCGGGCACTGCGGTGCCACTGGTCCCTGTGAGATCCAGGCGGAGCGTGCCACACTTCTTCACCCCGGGATCAGTGATGAAGCTGACGTCGTCGTGCTCCGAGCTGTAGATGTTGATGACAATGACCAGCTGGGAGGGCTTGGCCGGGGTGTAGCTACGCTTGACCAGCTCACCCAGGGCCACAGACTGGTCGGCAGAGATGAACTTGTCGAAGACGTCAGTGCACCACCGAGTGCCATCCTTCACCAGCAGCTTCTCGGGCGGGTGCTTGCCCTCCACGTAGCGGTTCAACACGCCCACCCCATAGGTGAGCGGCGACCGGCGAACCTTGATGACCGCGGGGTCCAGACCAAAGAGGACGGCGCCCTTGAGGATGGTGAGGCCCACGTCCTGGGGAATGATGATCCGGCACTGGTCCCCGAAGGCAGCCTGCACCGCCTGCTGCAGGAGGGGCGCCTCAGCAAAGCCGCCCACCAGAAAGAGGAACTTGACGGTGGACACCTCGGGCTTCTGAAACAGGTCCCCTGGAAGGGAAGAGGCAGGGAGAATGTCCTGTCACCAAAAGCCAGCAAGGAAGGGGGAACTAGGCTGCCTGCGTCTGTGGGGAATGGACAAGGCCACTTGGGCCAGTGGGAGGGCAGGATTACTCTGAGCTCCTTGAACAGAATCTTTGCAGAACTGGTATTTTAAAGAAAGGGAGTTTGCACACCAATATGTTACGGAATAAAAGCCAGAGCTGCTGCTAAGTAGAAATGCATTTTAACAGATACATGGTGATAATTTTAAGTAGAATTTGGTTTGCATAAATGAATACTCCTAAAGCTCTCCAAACTGTGGTTCTGTTGGGTAAGTCAAGGCAGACTGTTATAAATAGAATTCTCTGATTCTCATAAAAATCCCATCCCACTCCTAGAGAGTCTGATTTGGTAGGTGAGGGATGGGATACTGAAAAAGTCCCCGGTGAGTCTGCTATGTGTCCGTGGGTACTGCCACCGATGTAGCAGGATAATGACATGACCAGATTCCATTTGCCATCTTGCAGAACTTCCTTTGGTTCACACAACAGTTCCTTCTTCCCTAGCAGGGTAAGGATGTCTAACATGTCCCAGTAAAGCAAAGAATGTGCATTTCCTAGGGCCTGCCACTCTCAGGTAACATTGCCTCAGAGCTTCCAGCCCTCTGATCTTTTTGTTGTTTTAAAGTTT